AAACATAAAAAAGATTCTGTAGAACCAAACCTTTTTGATACTAACAGAATCTTACTAGAAATCTATTTCTAATATAGACTCATGATTAAATTCTTTTTTTGAAGTGAATAAGAAAGTTGTATTTGCTGAATTCAATTCCCGGTCTTTTTTGTTTGTCCATTCCTTAACTACGTATCGATTTCGACATAAACAAGAAGGAATTGGACTCTAGGAAAAGACAAATTATCATCCTAGAATCCTGTTTTCCCTTTTTCTACTTTACTTAATATTATCTACCTACCTATTTTTTTAGGTTTAGTATCGAGTCGAATTTCATTCTATTACAATATAAATTCTAATATTTCTATTCTAGGACATGAAAATGTGAAAACAGCGACATAATCAGCGACATAATCATATGGTTCGAATTAATTGTGCAGTTGAAAAAAACCAAGAACCAAAGGTCTTTACACAGAATTTATCAACAAAAATGGAGTTCTTTTTACCAGCTTAATATGTTGATAAATTGACATTCCTAAAAATTCATTCAGACAATTGCACCTTCTCAAATTGTTTCTTTTTAAGAACCAAAAAAAATTTGTGCCAAAATAATAGATGCCAAGAAGAGCAAGAGACCTTGGACACGTAACGGATCTTGAAGCACTATTTCTGCATCCCCCTGACCAAATCCACCCACATTAGGATTACTCGTTAATGGTTGATCAAGTTTGATAGATTCACCCTCTGAAACAAGAAGTTCTGGTCCTGGCGGTATAATATCAATCACTTCACGTCCATCTGATGCATCTACTATCGTTATTTCGTATCCACCTTTTTCTTTTCGTATTATTTTGTTTACTACACCCGTTGCTGTAGCATTATAAACTTTATTATTACTCTTGCTTCCGTCGGGATAAATCTGACCCCTTCCCCTGTTCCCGCCTACGTATATAGGATATTTTAAGAAGTAAACATCTCTCTTAGTAGCGGGATCTGGAGAAAGAATAGGAAAGGTAATTTCACTATATTTTTTTCCAGGAACGGGGCCTATCACAAGAATATTTTTTTTGTGGGACGATAGCTTTGAAAAGACAAATTACCTATCTTTTCTTTAATCTCGGGCGAAAAGACGATCTGGAGGGGCCAATTCAAAACCCTCTGGTAAATTAAGAACAGCTCCCACATTCAAAGCCCCCTTTTTACCATTAGGCAAGAACTTGTTTCACTTGCATATCATAAGGAATTCGAACAACTGCTTCAAATACTGTATCGGGAAGTATCGCTTGTGGAACCTCAATATCTACGGGCTTATTAGCTAAATGGCAATTAGCACATACAATCCGGCCGGTAGCTTCTCGAGGATTTTCATAACCTTGTTGGGCAAAAATAGGATATGCATTTGAAATGGGTGCTCGAGTTATTATATATATCATGAGCAATACGGAAATGGATCGGGTAATCTCTTTCTTTATCCAAGAAAAAGCATTTCTAGTTTGCATGGTCCAATCATTGATCCTGAAAATTTCTACAATAAGATTAGGTAGGTTACTGGCACAGTTCCCTATCCATGATTCTGCTATTTACTCCAATTCTTTTCCTATAATATAGGAAGAATACGAGTAAAACGAAAACGAATAAGTTCAATTTTAAATGTTTAGCTTTTCTATACAAAAAACAAATTTTAGAATTGGATCAGTGGGTCGTTTTTTCATTCCTTCATTGAATGATAAATGACTACAAGCGACGGAGATACACGATTTAAATAACGGAAAATAGAATATTTAAAAATAGTATCTAAAATGACTGGAAAAATCGAAACAAGACAAGATAGAATCTGATCATTCGGAGTAAATCCAAAATCTTTATAGACAGACCCAATCATTAGTTCCCAACCCTGAGTCGAATGGAATCCTATACAAAAATCAGTTAATAAAAGAATAGAAAAAGCTTTTATTGTGTCACTTAAGTTATATAGAAATTCTTGAACCCAAGAGTTAAGAATAATGAGTTCTTGATTACCTCGAATAGAATAACCACTTAGAATAAGGAAACAGATTATATTTGTACAGAAATGGAAAATCGTATGGATACGATCTAGGTTGTTCGTCTCGATCAATTGGATGGTCTCTTTGTAGATTTCGATACGAAGGTTTTGTAAACGTGTTTCCGGGTATTCCTTTAGCATTTCATCCAAGAGGAACAGTTCCTCGAACTCTAGCAATTTCTTTAAAATACTTTTTTCTTGAATAGTATTCAAGACAATTTCGGATTCTTTCATATTCCACCAATTAGTAATCCAAGATTCCAGACTTTTCTGAAATGTAAAAGAGATGCACCAGGGCAAAAAGACTATAGATGTAAGACATAGAAGGGGAATGCATGCTTTCTTTTTTGCCATTTTTCGTCTTTAATGAACTCAGTTTCATCTCATTTTTCAACTATATATAATAATAATCTTTCTATCAAGCATAAGTTCTATTACAAGTAAATACAAGTAATAGAGCTTAGCCTAGAATATATCAATTTATAATTTTTTCATAGAAATTGAGAAGCTATTCTTTTATTTGTAATTCGGAGGTTAGTTTCTTTTTCCTTCAATTTGAAAAAAGAATCCAAAAGAATACAGAAATCAAATAAGAAAACGAAATAAGCCATTGCCAATTTGAATGAAGAAGAAAAAAAGTGTTTCAAAAGCTATGAATTAAAAATGAAATTGTTTGGATACAGCGATTTCCATTGGTATACTCAAGAATATGGAACGATTTCCATTGGTACACTCAAGAATCTGGACAAGTCCCAAGCTTTTTGTATAACGTTGCATGGAGTCCTATCATCAACAGGAGTCAAGGGAATGGTCCCCTGTTCTCTGGTTTGCATATAAAGGACACCACTACTAGGTTCTGGGTTAGCTTGTAGTATGAGGGACTGAATATCTTCCATACGAACTCGGAGAAAAATACGACGATATGTTCCAGGAAATCCGTAACGAAAAAAACATACCATTCGATTTTTTTTATCGAAAAAATTATAGCCACTCCCCACATTCCAAAAAATTAGAAGCCACCAATGTAAACTTAGAAAGAGACCGGCAATTCCATAGAAAGTCAGCGTGACTCCTTGTGTCAAAAAAGGAATGACAAATTCGGACGAAATGAAAGAGAAAAAATCCCTCCCATAATAACTGGAAACTGAAATATATAAAACTCCTAATGAACCTAAAAGAGTGAAAGACGCCAGAATAAATGATAATTTTTCGGGACCCCGGTACAATGTCAAGCCATGCGTCTTGTGAACGACAACCAAGTTTTTCTGACCCCCAACTAATGAATTTTGGAACATGAACCAATAAAGCAGACATTACAATTAATACAAGGCCCACTAAAAACACATAAACGTTTATCATAAAATGGGTGCCTCAATTTCATATTTGTACCTGTTCTTTTTTCTTGATTGTTAGATTAATATTTATGTTGTTATATGAAAACCTCCTATCTTATTAAGGCTTATATAATATTAGTACTTTTCTTTTTTTTTTATTGAAGGCAATAGTTATTCAAAAATGGAACAAAAGAACAAATCCAAACTAAAAAATTTAACCCTATTTTCAAAAATATATGAAACTTGTGGTATCTAAAAAATATTGTTTTTTTGAACATGAAGAAATAAAGAAACCATTGCAACTGCCGGAAATACTAGGCCTACTAAAGGAACAAAAAGGGATGGTAAGTTTATCATAAAATGGGGGTACCTCAATTTCATATTTGTACCTGTTCTTTTTTGTTGATTGTTAGATTAATATTTGGATTCTTCTTATATTGGAATAAAGAAAGTCTATAATCACTAGAATTCATATAGACTTATACTAAGTCTATTTTTTTAATTCTACTATGTAGAGCTAAATAAATAGATATGAATATATATATATATTCTATATGGAGTATATAAAGAGAATAAACCCATAAGAAAAAAATGGAATAAGATTTATTAAGAATCAAAATCGTTAATTTTAATAATTTGAATATTAAATTAAATATAAGGAATGTCGAACGAAATAACTGGATTTATTTTGCTGTCTATTTCTACAAGAAATATGTCCATGATAATTAATCTTTATTTTTTATTCTTATCTTATTACTTTACTCTTGTGTGTTCTCATTTTCTTTTTATATCATTTTTATATAATAAGAAGATTTCTTTATGATATTCATTTTATGATATTAATGAAAAGTTAAAATTGAAAAACATAAATAAAATGATAGTCTGCATTAGTTTTTCATTTTCAATCCAAGGAAAGCAACCATGGAATTCAAATAACTCACTTAAAAAGTCCTTTAAAGAATCACGTGATACGATTGCATCCAATAAGCCTTTTTCGAAAAAAACTTCAGCCGATTGGGAACCTTCAGGCACTTCCTTATTCAACGTTTGTTCAATTACTCTTTTACCCGCAAATGCAAGGTAAGCTTTTGGTTCGGCAATAATGATATCCCCCAACATCCCAAAACTAGCTGTTACCCCACCAGTAGTAGGCGATGTAAGTATCGCTACATAGAGTAACTTTTGATTGATTTGATAATTATATAAAGCAGAAGATATTTTAGCCATTTGCAATAAGCTCAAACTTCCTTCTTGCATACGCGCTCCTCCGGACGCACATACTATAATAAGAGGTAAAAGTTGATTGGTAGCATATTCGATCAAACGAGTTATTTTCTCACCCACTACGGATCCCATACTACCCCCCAGAAACTGAAAATCCATAATACCTATTGCTACAGGAATACCATTTAGTTGACCTGTGCCTGTTTGAACCGCCTCCAGTAATCCTGTACTTTCTTGATAAAAATCAAGGACGATCTATATAAGGTTCGTCTTCCGTAGAAGAGTCGTATTCGTCTTCCGTAGAAGGTTCGTCTTCCGGAGAAGATTCGTCTTCCGGAGAAGATTCGTCTTCCGGAGAAGATTCGTCTTCCGGAGAAGATTCGTCTTCCGTATAAGGTTTGTCTTCCGTCGAAGGTTCGTTAGAAGGTTTTGTCTTCCGTCGAAGGTTCGTTAGAAGGTTTGTCTTCCGTCGAAGGTTCGTTAGAAGGTTTGTCTTCCGTAGAAGGTTCGTTAGAAGGTTTGTCTTCCGTAGAAGATTCGTATTCGTCTTCCGTAGAAGAGTCGTATTCGTCTTCCGTAGAAGGTTCGTCTTCCGTATAAGGTTTGTCCCATTCAATGGGATCCAGAGAAAACATGTCTTCATCCATAGGATTCCAAGTACCTGGATCAATCGAAAGTTCGATTCTATCTGAACTGCTCATTTTCAAATGATCTCCACAGTGTTCGCAAATATTCATTTTGGATTTAAAAAATTTCTTATAATTTAATCCAAAGCAACTTTCGCATTCAACCCATAAATGCTTAAATTTTTCAGTATAAGAAGTATCTTTTGGATCATCAGGATATTGTATTGGAGTAAATTTACTATTATTTGTATCATTAGAATATTCTATTGGAGTAAAATCACTATCATTTGTATCATTAGAATTTTCTATTTCATACAAATCACTATCATTTGTATCATCTAAAATGTAACTATTCAAGTCACTGATATTGGCATTGTAGTTGTCACTATCATCTAAATAACGAAGATAACTCTCAATCACTATGAATGTCATTATCCATATCAGTTAAAATAGATGGGTCATCAGTTAAAATAGATGAGTCATCAGTTAAAATAGATGGGTCATCAGTTAAAATATATGGGTCATCAGTTAAAATAGATGGGTCTTCATTTACACCGTTATTTTCAATAGGATAAAAACTATCTTCAATAGGATCAAAACTATCTAGGGATTTACTTAAACCACACCTATATTCTAAATCCCTATTAAACAGCAACATTGGATTGAACCACTTTAAAATACAATAGATGAATAGTCATTCGATGATCATTTTTTATCGACTTAAGTATAGAAATAGAATTGCGAGGATTAATAACTTATAATAATAATGAGCGAAGAAGTATTGAACAAATGTATCATTATATTTGAATATCAATCAATAACTATTTCTAATAATAAAAATGAATGAATAGAATAAAAACAAAGAAGTAAAAAGGCTCATTTGGTCTACGGTATTTATGCACCAAATTAGTTTATTTCTTGACTTTTTCCTAATATGAGGTAGGTTGAGCACCGAATTTTGGAATAAATAGATCACTCAAATCGAAAAATCGAGGATCCCTATTTCTAGATACTAGAAACTAGATAGTATAAAGAAAATAGGGCATGTAAGACTCCGCAGCTAATATAGTCACGTTTTTCAAGTCCCACGCTGCTTTTTACTACATCGTTTCAAACGAGGTTTTACCATAACATTATTTTTTAGTTTCAATCTGGTATGTAATTGATTCCATTTTGAAATCGTGCATAGTCATTGACTCAATCAATAGATAATAATATATACTTTTCACTTCTAGGTTTTAGGTTTTCTGACTATACAATTTTATTTCTAAAGTCAAGAAGTCGAAATTAAGTCAATATTCTATTTTCATGGTTTGTAAATTAAATATAAAAAAATCAATTTCTAAAAAAAAAAAAAGGAATCTTTATTCGGATATACAATTTGTATTGAATAGGTATATATCTTGAATAGATATGATCTGGGACGGAAGGATTCGAACCTCCGAATAACGGGATCAAAACCCGCTGCCTTACCGCTTGGCCACGCCCCATTTTGATTCGACATAAATAGTATTATGAGTTGTTCGTAAATTACACTTCGAAATTTATTCTATAGAATAAATTGTTGCTAGAATTTTGATATGTATCGATATCGAATTAAACGAAATTTATTGATCATTCCATAGAATTCAATTAAGATATTGTTTGAACTTATTCAGTTCAAATCAAAAAAAGTGGGGGGTCTGATCTTAGTTGATTCATCTTTTTTTTTTCGTTTTATTACTGATTTAGTAATCTTCATATCTATAAATAGGAATTCAATATTTTATATTCTATCCTTTTAGATTTTCAAATTATTCATTTTCTATTCTATATATTCTCTATTCTATCTAAATAAAATCAAAAAATTTTGATTTTATATTTCATTGTTAATATAAAAGTATAATACAAAAATGGATAATAATAATAATAAATTATATAATAAATCATATCATATATAGAATAAATCATATCATATATAGAATAAATCATCTATATAATAATAAAAAAAATACAATCAAAATTAGAATTAAAAACAAAAGAAAAAAGACAATTCATTTTCTTAAAGAAAAACATTTTTGTTATGCTTAATATCTTTAGCTCGGTCTGTATTTGTATTCACTCTGCCCTTTATTCAAGTAGTTTTTTCTTGGGGAAATTACCAGAAGCTTACGCTTTTTTGAATCCAATTGTAGATTTTATGCCAGTAATACCCTTACTCTTTTTTCTCTTAGCTTTTGTTTTGGCAAGCTGCTGTAAGTTTTCGATAAGATCTTTAATTTGAATAATGTCCGAAAAAAAAGTCAGAATTTATTAGAAAACTCAAATTTTAACATTTTTAAAAATAAGATAAGTCTTACAGTGTGAATCCGTGATTATAAATCTTGAAATTGTTGGATAGACAATAAAAATATGGATCATCTCATCATTTCCTTTTTTTCCATTCAAAAATAAAAATTATATTATTCTATTATTCGATTTGAGTCTACCACCAATACGTGGATCTTGTGGATATGAAAGAAAATTGAATTGTTGGTAATGGTAAAACAAAGGCTCAACTCTTACTACAAATCAATTTTTTTAGTTTTTTTGAAATAACTTCATTTCTTAATAAACTGAGTATCAAAGGAAACATAATATGAAATACAAGAGAATCTATTCTCTTTCTCTGTCGTTTTTTTTTTTTTATTATCTTGGAGATTTTGTAATGCTTACTCTAAAACTATTTGTTTACACAATAGTGATATTCTTTGTTTCTCTTTTCATCTTCGGATTCCTATCTAATGATCCAGGACGTAATCCTGGACGTGAAGAATAAGAAAATCTTTGTTCTTTTCCGTACTTATGCTGGATTTTTAAATATTTTTCGTTTTTCTATCTATTTTACATCTTTAACTAGTAAAAAATGAAACAAACAGGGAATAAAAAAAAAAGAAATTCCAGAAGTTCAAAAGAAAAAAATGCCAAATCATCAATAAACGGAAAGAGAGGGATTCGAACCCTCGGTACAAAAATTCGTACAACGGATTAGCAATCCGACGCTTTAGTCCACTCAGCCATCTCTCCCCAATTCAAAAAATTGAATTATTATGCTTATGTTACCTCGGATAAACAAAAAGAACAAAAAGTAGGGCTCAAAAAAGCCTTCTATATATCTTATTTGATATTGATCGTCATTTGATATATCTTATCTATCTATCTTTTTTCTATTTGATTATCATTTTATTTAATTACTATTCATAATTCTATATTAACTCATAAATATTAGTTATATTTTCTTATACCTATACTAAAGTTATATTCTATATATACGCAATATAAAATTTTTTCTTTTCTTTTTTTTTTAGTTTGTTTTTTTATCCAACCAGAGTCCAGCTAGGTACTGGCACGGCTCTTTTTTCCCATGAATCACAATGATTTATTTTTCTGTATCAGATTTGAAAGAAACTTGTAATTAAGGAAAACATTTTAATACGATCAAACAAAAATAAAAATAACTTTTTGATCGTATATCATACGAATTAATCAGTTAACGTATCTAAAAAAAGAAATAGAACTATGGATTCTTGCACAATGCATTTTTGTCTTATGAATTTCGTTTAGTAATTTTGTCGAGATCTATCTGTCAAAATACCTTCAACAAAATCCAAAAATGAGATTCGCCCCCTTTTCTAAATTTCATTAGGGGGCCCTTTACGAAACATGTGAACACTGTATTTATCATAAAATTCTGCACCTATTTCATAATTAGGACTGATTCCCCTTCCTGTATTGATATTGACAAAAGATCTTTTTATATACAATAATAGTATTGATAGCGGGTATAGTTTAGTGGTAAAAGTGCGATTCGTTCTATCGACCCCTTAATAGTAATAGTTAAGGGGTCCCTTCCGTGATTCATATCACGATCAAAAACTTTATTTCTTACTTAAAGGTATTTAATCCTTTATACCTCTCAAGGAGCAATTCGAGGAATAATATACATTATCATAATTTGTATACAATTTAGAATTGATTCTAAAATTATGAAACATAAGTTTTTGCAATTGGATCCAGAATCCCAATTTTTGAATATAAGTTAAGGATCCAGGGAGAAGATATATAAAATTCGTTTCCAATCGTAACTAAATCTTCCAATTTTTTTATTATTTGTTTTGTATAGGAGAGATTGAAGCAAAATAGCTATGAAATGATTTTTTTAGTTTACTAGAAACATCAACATATTTTTTTAGCTCGACGGAAATTTTATTCTATTTCCTAAAGATTCTCTCAAATAGAAATAGAGAACGAAGTAACTAGAAAATAAGAGATTGTTCGAATACTCCTTTTCTATAGGGATCATCTAAAAAGCAACGTTAATTGTATTCATACCGAAAGGCTGACATAGATGTTATGGATTCTTTTTTTCATGTATTCCATCTATCTCTTAAATTATTCTGTAAAGGAGCTGAATGAAACAAAAGTTTCACGTTCAGTTTTGAATTAGAGACGTTCATTCATAAACGTCGACTATAACCCTTAGCCTTCCAAGCTAACGATGCGGGTTCGATTCCCGCTACCCGCTTATATCTATTTTTTATTTAGTAAATTTCTTCATTTAGTTTTAGTATAGAATTCTTTTTTCTTTCCCTTTTCACGAAATTTTCGTGAAAAGGGAAAGAAAAAAAGAAAAGCGTCCATTGTCTAATGGATAGGACAGAGGTCTTCTAAATCTTTGGTATAGGTTCGAATCCTATTGGACGCAAATTGATTACATATTGAATTGATTGCAATTGCATATATATTAATTGAATTCGTATATTTATAAAAATATATTGTGAATTTATTATCTTTATGATTCTTTTTTTAAGAGACTAATGATAGAAATTTTTTAACGGTATGAAAATTTTAATCAATTTTTTTCTACTTGTTCCTGAAGTAAAAAGAGTTCCATCTGTTCCTGAATAGCTTCCTTCAAAATGGCTTCTGCTTCCCCAGTGAATGTCTTGGTAGAAGATATGATTTCGTTGAATTTAGGTTTATTCGTTTTTAAATAAGCCCGGAACTCAAGGAGAAATTTCCTTACCTGTTCAATTTCTAATGAATCAAGATTAACC